GACCATGGTCAACTCACCCCACACGAGGTCGGCGCCGTAGTGAAGGGCGAGCAGGCGCGAAGGCAGCTCGCCCGAGCGGACCATGGGCGCGAGAACGACTTTGCCCCGGTAGTCCACCCCACGGCGGGGGATGGGCACTTTCTTGACTTCGGATGCCATGAATCTGCCGATAGATCGTGATAGCATTCTTTGGAAAACAAAATCTACATCGCCCTCCTCCGAAGGTGAAGGGTTTCGGCGTGACGAAGCGGCGATGACGAAAATGTCAGAAAGAAGGATGTCACTGTCGCAACTTGGGGCAAGGAGAAAGCCGAAATCTACAATGGCGCTTATCGATACGGCTGGGTCATCGGCCAGTGCCGCTGCTTGGGGCGCACAGGGGGGGGGGGTGGTGCTTGGGGGGGTTGTCCGCCGTGGAGGTTGCGGGTGAGTCAGCACGCGCCAATTTGACGTAGCCTGATTGCCAGCGCCGTCAAGCAAAGACCTGGCAGCAGATAGATGTGTTGCCGTGCATGACCTATGATCAACACATGTCTGAACGGATAGTAGCTTTGTGTTCATTGTCACGGTAGTCTTTTCTGTACCTGATTGCTGCAAACTGGTTGATACAATGCGAGGCACTCCTTGCTGCCACTGGTAGTCCGTTGATACATGTAATCCGTAACTTTTGAATCAGTGTGGCAGGAAAATCGAGGAGAACGGTTCAGTCCATGATTGATACGTCAAAAAATCATACATGACGCATAGGACGCTCACTTTGGCAATCCACTATAGGCATGAGTTGGTTTGGGCACTGGTGTATCTCGCCTCCACTGCCCGTGTCGATCAGGTGTCGAAGTCCGTATTCTAGCTGTCCAACCTAGCCACAAAATCACCCTACGGCCTTGGGTCCTGACCAAGTGCTTCAAACATGACTGGCCCATCAATCGGTGTGGCTTGACACCGACCAGACGAGCGAGCCTCGACATCGTTGGCAATCCGGAGATTTTACCCCAAAGAAGAAGTGCACTCTCTATGCATCGTACCCCCACGGAACGTGTACCTTGCATGGCCTGCCGGATGACCACATGGCTCGAGCTAGGCGCCAATCACGGAGAAGACAGCTTATAGAACGGCAAAAAGACATGCCAAGCGTCTTGATCATAGGGGGATATCTCATTCAAGTAGCTAATCAAAAAGTGCGTCGGTCTCGGAATCTAAGAGAAACCCAGGTTGAGGGTGTACTTCAGCGGCGACGTGCCGGTAATGTACACCTTTTGCCCCTTGAGCACGAGGGCGCCCGCGTGCCAGCTGTACTGCTCGCCGCCGTCGGCCACAATCAGACCCTCGCCGATGCCCGGACCAAAGGTGATCTTGTCGTTGCCGACGCTGTACTCGCCCGTTCCCTCGACGAGGTGCGTCGTCTTGACGCCGTCGACGTTGGTCAGCTCCTTGACGCCCTTGAAGGTACCGTTGCCGCGGAATGTCAGCTCAAACGTCAGCTCGACGTCCTGCTCGCCCGTCACCTCAAACGCAATGTCGTAGCCGGCCTTGGTGGGCGAGATGGTCACGTCCGTCTTGAGGCGGCGCATGCTGGTGGGGCGGTTGGCAAAGTCGAGCATGGCGTAGAACCGGCCATCGGCGACGGACCGGCCGAGCGCGTACACACCGTTCTCGTCGCGCTGGTCGGCGGGCATGGGCAGGTAGTAGGGGACCTCCATCTCGCTGCCGAGCCTGATGGTGCCGTCGCTGTCGTACTTGATGCCGTTGGACCGGAAGTGGCCCATGGTGAAGAAGTTGGGCACAAAACGCAGGCCCTCGAGCGCGAGGTTGCCGTTCCAGGCGCGGAACAGCGTGGGGTTCGTCGAGAGACCGGAGCCGAAGCGGTTGTAGAAATCGGTCTGCTTGCCGTCGGCGTACCAGTCCGAGCCGCCAAAGGCCGCGACGGTCAGCTTTCCGCGGCGCGCACGGACGAGGCCGGCGGTGGCGTAGTGCTTCTCAAAGTCGACAAAAGGGCTCTCGGGCTCCGGCAGCTTGACCGCCAGCTCGGGGCGCTCGATGAGGTCGCTGAGGAAGTCGCCAAGCCTGGCGCCGAGGCGCTCCTCGATGAGGCGCGCCATGGCGGCGAAACGGCCGTTCTTGTCGAGAATGGCCAGCTCGCGGAACTGCGTGTAGAAGTTCTGCATATTGTCGCCCACAGGTTGTGTCTGGTCCTGACGACGGCTCTGGATGGTCTCGATCTCGCCATTGGGTTCAGCATGCTCAATGGAGAGTTCGAGGTTCTTGCGGACGAAGGGGATGAGGTCGGTGTAGTTGAGCTCGCGCGCCACGGTCAGGAGCGAGGGGTTGGAGACGGCCGAATAGTAGTTGGGGCTGCGCTCCGAGTAGATGCCGTCAGCATCAATGTCGATGCCCTCGGCGAGCCACTCGTCGATGCGCTTGATCAGGCTCTCGTCACCGGTGATGGTGGAGATGCGGGCCAGGGCGGCGCAGATCTTCCATCGGTGGTTGGGGGTGTGAATACCGCCCTTGGCAAGGCCGGGGCCCGCCTTGACGAGGATGGCTCGGATCTCGTCAGCGATAGCTTGCGAGTCATCATGGTCGTCCTTCTCGAGGATGCGAACCATGATGCCAAAGTCCTCGATCAGGAAGCCCGTGTCGGGCGGGGAGTGGCGGTTGCCGACGCTGTAGGTACCGTCGCAGTGTTGGCGCTTGGTCAGGGCAGCCATCATCTCTTCAATGTGCGGCAGCAGGCTCTCATCGTGGTAGTAGGTCGAATTAGGCCAGACGAAGGGCGTCACGAGCTGACGAACAGCGCGGGCAATGGCACGCGGCTGACCCTTGAGCAGGTTCTGCTTGTTGTTGATGGTGGTCTGGACCTGGGTGTCGGCAGCCTTGGTCAGGATCGCGAGACTGGTGAGGTCGAGGGCGGCTGCTTCTTGCCGGGGCGCAATCGACGCAGCAGAAGCCGTGGTGGCGAGCAGGGCCACGCCCAATGCCTTGAAGGTGCCGAGGAGTCTCATGGCGTCGATGTTGGTGAGGATGCTACGCTTGGGAGGGAGGCGGTACCGACATGCTGGGACCTGACTCTCGTCGAGAGTCGATCAGCTTGGTTAAATACTTGCACACGACCACCTGACGATGTCATGTTTTCCCTCGGTCGGTGCATTGAAGGCCGAATGACGGTCAATTCCCAAAGCTTCAGTAATTTCCGGGGCCCCCTCGCTAGCCTGAATCCCCCATGGGGTAAGGTTAGCTACGTTGCAGCGTTCATTCGCCAAACGTTCGAGGTAGAATCGCCCAGAATTACCTCGTCCAGGTTCAACGGCTTTTACCCCGCGATTCAGGCTTCGAGGGTTTTCCTCATCGGGCAGGTAGACGTTCAAGCCTCGGTGGGGGACAGCGGTTGTTTTCTCGAGTGAGGCAACTTCTCCCGGGAGCAGTACCGAACACCAAGAAAACATGGTGGAGCTCTCGGGAAGCATGTGGCGGTGGCTCTCTTGTGCCCAGCCGCCGTCACTCGAGCCCCGTGTGTTACTCCATGATTTCTCCGTGGAGTCCCAAGAGTCGGGTCTGTTCTGCCTGTCTCGAGGCACACAAGAGGATCGCCAGCCATGTGGTGGCCCTGTCTGTCTCTATGCCCTGACCGCCGGGAGTGACCCAATAGTTGAATGACATTGGCAATAGGGTCGAGGGAGTCTGGCGGACACTGAGTCGAGGAGGCTGACAGACACCGGTACGAAAGGAGCTGGAAGAAGTTCGCAGATCTTGGATGGCATTCAGTCTCAGAACTCATCGACTTGCAAAGTGAAGCAAATGAACGGTTGATTCGAGTCAATCAATATGTGCGGACTAGGCCTTGCTGTCGCATTTTCAATCCCAAAAATGGAAAGAGAAGGCATCGATCTGAAGCAGGTAAACGATAAGCTCAAGAACAGCAAACTGGGCGAGAAGAAGGCTGGCGAATCATGGACCCCGGGACAACTTGGAAAAGAAGGACCAATGTTGTTGGAGCTGCTGCAGCTGCGACCAGATGACAGCAGCTGACGGCGTCTTCAGTCAAAGTCAGTCCGAGCGAGCATTTCAACACGACCGCCGCCAGTGGGTCAAGCAGCGATTGCGTGATCAGTGTGAAGAAAAGGGAGTGGAACCCTGCGCGTCACGTGTAGATCCACTCAAGCTTTTCACCCCTGGCCCGTCTGGTCTGGCCTCAGGTCCCCAACAAGTGAGGACTGAGGCAGTGAGGCCGGCAACCAGAGCGCGCGTTAGCCCAGTCTAGCCGCGCTCAGCCCGCCGGAATGTCACCATTTACCTCGGGTTACAGCTCACACAAGACGGTAGAAACACCAGCAACGAGCCGTTCCCAGGTCCCTTTAGCTGCAGAGGCCCCTCGTCCGCAGGGACCATCCCCCTTTCTTCCCCCCCCTTTGTTCTCATCACCGTTGCAACACATGCCGTCACTATCGTCTCGAGGTCTCTGGAAGCTGCAGAGCGCGCCCAAGCCATACCCGTTGAAGGTCTCTCAAAGGAGTCTGGCATCTGTAACTGCAAGACAACTACCGTCTCCGATCCAGGCCCCGAGTCGGGCCAATCAGTCGAGAACCCTGGTAGCCAACACCAAGCTAATGGGGCTTCCTGCCTCCGGTGCGGGTGCACGCCCGAGTGGTGGTGGTGGTGGCAGTGGTTCTGTTGTTGCCAGAGCTGGCTTTTCCACGTCTGCCACGGCGGCGGCAGCACGCTCAGGCGCAGGCCCTGCCTCCGGTGCTGGCATTGGCATTGGCATTGGCGCTGGCCCCGCCCCGGTTTCTGCCCCTCCCCCTCCTTCCACAGCTCTTGCATCATCCGCCACGGCCAGGACCACTTCGCAGGCGCTTTCCGCTCGAGCGAATAATTCTCAAATTTCCTCTTCTCCCTTCTCCTCCTCCTCCCAACGCACTGCGCAGATTGCTCGTCACCTCTCGACGGCATCTTCCCCCTCGCATCCCACATCATACCTATCGCCAGCGTCCCCAACCGCTGACATGGCCTCTACCTACACCCTCCGCAAGATTGGTGCTCCCCACACCCTGGAGCACCGCGTCTACATCGAGCAGGATGGCGTCCCTGTCTCCCCTTTCCACGACATTCCCCTGTACGCCAACAAGGAGCAGACGGTCCTGAACATGATCGTTGAGATCCCTCGCTGGACCAACGCCAAGCAGGAGGTGTGTTCTGCCCTGCCTCGCGCCGTTGCGCCCCGTGTTTTGCGTGGTTGATGGGTTTTGCGAATTGCCCTCATTCCACCCTGCACAACCCCTCCCCCACTCCAGAAACCCATTGGCTGACTCTGCCCCGCGTCCAGATCTCCAAGGATGAGCTCCTCAACCCCATCAAGCAGGACATCAAGAAGGGCAAGCTTCGCTTCGTCCGCAACTGCTTCCCCCACAAGGGCTACCTCTGGAACTACGGTGCCTTCCCCCAGGTATGCGGCCCGCCTCGACAGAGTCACCCCTCCGTCGATCAATGAGCTGATGCGTCTACACAGACCTGGGAGGACCCCAACGTCATCCACCCCGAGACTAAGGCCAAGGGTGACAACGACCCTCTTGACGTCTGCGAGATCGGCGAGCTTGTCGGCTACACCGGCCAGGTGAAGCAGGTCAAGGTTCTCGGTGTTATGGCCCTCCTCGACGAGGAGGAGACCGACTGGAAGGTCATCGTCATTGACGTCAACGACCCCCTGGCCCCCAAGCTCAACGATGTTGAGGACGTCGAGCGCCACCTGCCCGGTCTTCTGCGCGCCACGAATGAGTGGTTCCGCATCTACAAGATCCCCGACGGCAAGCCCGAGAACCAGTTCGCCTTCACCGGCGAGTGCAAGAACAGGAAGTACGCCATGGATGTCGTCCGTGAGGCCGCCGAGGCCTGGGACCGTCTCATCACCGGCAAGACTCAGCCCGGTGGCATCTCGACGTAAGTTTTTGTCCGCCAAAGCCCGCATTGACGCATGAGACTGACCATCTGCAGCACCAACCTGACTGTTGCTGAGTCCCAGAGCCGCGTCACTCCCGACCAGCTCCCCCCTCTGCCCGCACACCAGGAGCTTCCCGCCGAGAAGATCGACGCCTCTATCGACAAGTGGTTCTTCATCAGCGGTGCTGCCAGCTAGATGCCTCGCAATGCTACTCGGAGTGCGGCGGCAGGGCGACTGACTGCTTTGGAGGGCTCCTCGCACGGGACGGAATCGAAAGAAGCCACCCCAGCTCAAGCGATCAATCCGGGTCACTTGGACAGTGTGGATTGCTCCTTGGATCAGCCAGACTCAGCTCGACCGCTAAGCCCGAGGATGTTCGCGTCGCTTCGTCGTACTCTAGGCGGGAGTAGGTCACCCAAGTGAGCTGGAGCAGTAGCTTCAGCATGGCACATTGGGTGCGCATGCTTCGTCACAAAGTTCAAATCAAATACCACCTCGTCAAACATCCCTCTCTCGCAACATGAGCCCGTTTCTGTGAATCGTGATGCTGTGATTGTATATTTGTACATGCCTGGTGATCCAGTTGTCGGCCTCCAAGGTCATATGTTCCGTCTTGTCTGAACCAGATCATCAACAAGAAATGGTCCCAAACGCTTCAAATCGTACAGCTCTGGACGAACTCTCACGAGGTACCATGTCCATCCCGAACGCCAATAATGCCACACGCCATATAATGTACAACGAACCACCGAAATCGTTCCCCTCAAGAATCCGTCATGTCGGCCTGCTTCTGCAGGCCTCTCGAGTGCCGATCGACCTCTTCCAGCAGGCCCTTGATCCCCAGCTTCTCGCAGTCGAGCGTCATCTCCTTGCCATCCTCTGTGGGAGCACCACGTTAGCACATCGCGTTCTTTTGTCTCCATCACGCGCATGTCCTCCCCATGGGCCGATGCTAGGGGGAGGCACTCCTGCCGGCTCGGGGAACGTCTGTCTCGGGCCACGCACTAAACTTGACAAACAGCGAGGGCGCCTCCTTGGACGTCTTGGGCAGCAGGACCGTGTTGATCGTGAGGCCGGACTGGCGCGCGTTGGGTGGCAGGAAGGAGAGGAAGAGGCGGGCGGGGCGGGCCTGCATCGTGAACGGGTTGAACCGCGTGGTGATCTCGGTCATGTATTTGGTGATCATGGTGGGCGAACGTGCGTCCTCGTGTCGATGCCGGCGGCTTTCGCGGTTTGCTTGTCCCAAGAGGTGGTGGTCGGGTTTCCGTGATGCGATGGGATGAGGGCTGCCGGCGGAAATTTTGGGGGTTAGCTTGTATTGCATTTCTGGGCGATCATGCCATTAAGGGGGGGGCAAAGAATGGTTGACGGGATGGTGCTGGAATCGCTCTAACGGAGCGGGGCTTTCCTTGGTTGAAATGTGGATTTCGTCACTACATGTTAGCAGAGGCCAGCTTTCGAGGACGGACAACGTCACCGGGTCGCAGCACCACGAACCAAACAAATTTCAAAGCAGAGCCCAAACCACCAACATGTCTTTCGAAGGATTACAAGAGCGCCTGACGGCTTTACAGGAGACGACATCGCAGCTCAAAGAGCTTATTGACCGGCTGCACAACCTCAGCTTCCAGCCCGGATCCGTGCCCCTCGGCGGCCCGGATGACGATAATGTTGGCACGGAGCTGAGCGCGGAAATCAGCCAGATCCTGCGCGAAGAGGAGGACGAGCTCGAGCTTCTTCATGAGGAAGTCGAGGATATCAGGAGTGGACGCCCCGGAAGCGAAACAGAGCACACGAAGACGAGGTTGAAGGATGGGCTCGAGCGGTTGCAGCAGGAACTCAAGAGGTACGTGACACCTAATTCAAGCTACGGAGAGCAAACTGTACAAAGCAGCAGCTTACAAGGCTTTGCGCAGCTCGCGGCTCAACTTTAGGAAAGCCCAGATCGTGGCCAAGCGAAACCTCACCCGGGCGCAGAGACTCGAACGTGAGCTTCTCTTGCAGTCCTACTCGCAGCCCGTCTCCGAAGCGACTTCTCCCCGTCTCGGCGCCGAAGACGCCGAATCGATCAAGGCGCCGAGCATCCGCCACCACCGACAGGCGCACCACGCCCATCAGCAGCAGTCTACTCTGTCGGAGGAGGATCAACAGACGGTTGGTGCGGCCAGCAACGTCACAAGCTCGCTGCGGCGGACGCACGACCTCATCGCGGCGGAGCTGGCGCGCAGCGAGTTCGCGCACCAAACGCTGACAGAGTCTTCGGCGGCGCTGGCACAGTTGGACGAATCGTACGGGTCACTGGAAGGGATGCTTGCGAGCTCGAAAGACCTTCTCGGAACCCTCGTCAAGTCTCAAAAGAGTGACACGTGGTACCTACAGACGGCCATGTACATGCTCCTCTCTACAGGTGCCTGGCTGGTCTTTCGCCGCTTCTTATATGGACCAGCATGGTGGCTTGTCTGGCTACCTATCAGGATGTTGTACAGCCTTGTGATGGGCGGGGGAGGCGCTGTCATCAAGTACGGTAGCTCGAGCGGCGGTTCATCGACAGTGGTCGTAGACCAGGCGACTGTTGAGGTTCAAGGCCTACCGGACAGCGATCTGCCAACCATTGACGTTAGTACTGCGAAAGCGGAGAGCACAGTGGTCGTAAAGGGTGACGTTGAAGGTTTGGTTGAGAAGATTGGCAAGATGGTGGAAGACATGCCAGAGCTGCAGACGGACGACGGGCTTGAGGATGGAGAAGGGGTGGACGAGTTCCACGATGCGGTGCAGGAGCCTGTCGAGGTGCCGCAACAGAGGGACGAGCTGTAGGCAGATGAAGATGAGCGACCGGCCATGTCCGCTGGTATCAACAATGCTTGCTCCATGAAAAAGTCGAATGAAGCACATGGACTTCTGTGATGTAATTTCCGTGCCCATCGTCGATGATCTGCTGCAATGTGCACAACAACGGATATGGAACATGCCCCGGTAACAAGGCCGTCCGTCTTGGCCTGGCTTAAGGCACGGTAACATTGAGCGACTCACCTCACCATGGAAGCCACAAGGCTGTGGTCAACTATCGAATGCTATTGCCGAGGAAAAAGGGGGGCCGACAAGTGGCGGTGCGAGCATCCCCTGCCAAAGCTCATATCGGTCGACGGATCCGAGATTTCGGCCCAACTCGTGCATGAACACGGAGACCACCTTTCTGCTTCTTCACCATGACGTGGTTGACAGCGGGCGGATCAAGTGGGCGAGTTCGTCTTGGGAGGGTGACACGAATAGAAGCAACCGTCTTATTTTTTTTCTTCTCTGGAAGTGGAAGCGGAAGCCCTCTCATCGGTTGCCACTTGGCCTGGGCGGCCAGATCCAGTGGGTGCTCGCTGTGCCCACGCGTTTTTAGAGGGGCAAAGCTCGTATTGCTGAACACGGTGGTGTGAGTCTGGTGTGGCGTGTGGGCGCAGGCGGGCACTGCAGAGGGGGGGCGATCGCTGGCGCTGCTCGGCCGCCGACGCGACCCTGTAGGTTGCAGCGTGAGGTGTGTCAAGCTTTTTTTGCTGGTGTAGAATGCCGATCGGTGTCTTCGACTTCGCCAGCACACGCAGCACACAGCACACAGCACAGCAGCCACGGGAGCAGGGGAGAAACCGAGCGGCACGGCACAGATGACACGCGGTTGCGGTGAACAAGACACAGGTGCATAGCCCAAGGGTTCGCGTCTTGTGGAATCGAACGTCATCACATTATGTGAAGCGATTTTTACCGCAAGTATTTGTCCCACCAGAAGAGGACGATGCATGAGGGAGTCGCTGATGACTCGCCTGGTGGGAGCGGCTGAGAGTCATCGTCTGATTAACGAGCGCCCCATTGAAGCAAGGACATCAGGTCAGCTTGACAGGCTATATGTATCTGCGTACTGTGCGTACATGTATAAGGTACACGAACAGAAGAAGGGGGCCCTCATGCGTAGCGTCGAGTGGACAGTAGCGACTGGCGACCAGAAAAGAAGCGTTGATGCCGACGCTAGCATCACTTCGCCCCTGAAAGGTCCTTACCACCAATCAGATGTCCCAATCACGAATTGGGTTTCCCGATCCGACATGACCATTTCCTCGTGTTGGGCAGGTCCGTGGGCACGTACCCAGCAGATGTTATGGGAAAGAGCAAGAAAACTGTGTAGCACTGGCCCGGCCTTCCACCCACCACATTCACTGCACTGCACTGCTGGGGGGACGGTAGGAAGGAGGGCCGCTCAGGTCTTTCTTTCCATATCATATTACAGGGTTTGAAACTGGGCAGAGGTCGGCAGGCGGGTTCCACCATGCAGATTCCCGGGTTGGATCCGCCGCCATGCCCCCATGGCCTATGGCCGCCCATTTTCATTCGAGCACTCGCAGAGAGAGAGACTGGCCGAGACCCCCCATTCCATCCATCCCCCGAGCCCAACATCGACATGACATTATCAACATTGCCCAGTCATGACGCCGCAGCAACGACAAAGACACGACCGAGACAGTCTCTCGTACGAACAGCACCTGACAGGCCAACAGGTCCCCCTCTCTGATCCAGAGCACCGACCGTCATGGCTCCCTGTGTTGACTTCCCCACGGTGTGGCCGGCGTGGAAACAGGGCCTGCAACTTCTGTCTGCTGGACCAGAAACGCCTGCAATCTAAAAAGGAGATTTGCGGCACTCGCGTCTGCACGGGAAAGCCAAAGTCGCCCGCCCTTCCCCCCTCATCCCTGCATCCCGAAGTCTGAATCGCCATTTTCCCCAGAAGTCCCCATCCAGCTCGACTCGATCTGATCCTAGTTTTCAGACCTGCCTGACTGATGACTGGACGCCGAACTGCCTGCGTGTCTCTGGTCCCCATCCATGGCCCGCCCCATCCTGGTTCTTCGGACTGCCCACCCCCGGAGTGTGACGCCGGTATGCGCTGCGTCGTCTCGCCTGTGGCCGTAGCCGTGGTCTATTCGCACGCGCGCTGGAGCTGCCCGCCCTGCCTGCCTTGCCCTGTCGGTGGGACTAGGACACGAGAAGCGGGCTTGGAGGCTATTGTTATGACCTTCCGCGCACATACCGTAGACGCCCACACGCACACCCACCCACCAACCAGCCCACAAGCGTGACCAAGGTCAGAGGCCCAACGGGCGGGCCTCGCGCAGGACAGGGCTTCCCTCTTGGCGCCGGCGCCGGTGTTTTTAAACAAGAGCCTGTGCCTCCCCTTCCTTCTGGGCTCGACTCTGTTCTCCTCTGGTTCGATCAGCTCGCTCTGCTTCAAGTACACTCACACTCGCTATTCTTCATCTTCTCAACAAAAGTCGTCCCTCGTTCACACGACTTACTTTACGCTACTTTCGATCTTCTACGTATTCGTAATACCAAACACCCTCGTAATTACCACCCAAACCGCCAACATGCGCTTCAACAACATCCTTCTTGCCGGCGCCTTCGCCGTTGCCTACGCCCAGGAGACCACCGTCACCACCGTCCCCGGTGTGGCCACTCCCACTGGCGTTGATGCCGCTGCCTCTTCGGCCGCTGCCGCCATCAACAAGTGCCTCAAGGAGTGCGACGCCACCGACTCGACCTGCCAGGCTCGCTGCGTCTCCGTACGTGGCATCCACTCTCCGTCATTCACTGTGACAACGTACTGACTGTGCTCTCAGGTCCCTGCCCCCAGCGACGCCCAGGCCATCGCCCTCGACAAGTGCGTCGGTGACTGCGACCAGGGTGACGGTTCCGAGGCCGAGACCAACGCCTTCGCCCAGTGCCGTGACCAGTGCATCAAGGAGCACTACTTCGACGCCGACTCCCCCAACGGTGCCCCTGCCGACAGCGGCAACGCCGCTGCCACGCAGACCTCTGGCGCTGCTGCCGGTACCCAGACCGGTACCACCACTGGCACCGCTGCCACCGGCTCCTCTACCGGCTCCGCCACTGACTCTGACAACGCCTCCGGCACCGCTGGTTCTGATGCCTCCGAGACCACTGGCGCTGACTCCGGCGCCAGCCTCCTCGTCAGCTCTTCTCTGGGCTTCTTCGGCCTCGTCGCTGCTTTCTTCCTGTAAAATGGCGAAGCAGATAGTTGGGCGTGAGTGGGTGGATTTTGGGGGTTCATTAATGTGCATATCTTGGATGAAGGGTATGTCGAGATGAGCGGGTGAGCGAGTTGGGTGTCGGGGTACATGATTTGAACATGTCGGTACCAGGCGAACCAAGAAGAATATACGAAAAAAAGCTTCAAATTTGTTCATGCCAATTCTCTGTCCATTCCACCTCGGGGATGCGTGACCTCGCGCCGGTTCATCTGTTGTGGTCTACTCTAGATTCTTGTCGGCTTGACCACGGGGATGTCGCTGATCCACGGGATGCCTAGCTGCTTCATTTCTACAGCTAGTTGAAAGAGGTAGTCCAGACTGTTTTCGTTAGCATGGCGATCTCTCCAGGAGCAACAGCTGCTCCAACGAAGCATCTCTCACCTTTCGCACTGCGTCTTGGCCTTGTGCACGTTATCGCCCCACACGTAGACGCCGTGCCGCCTGACAAGCACGGCGTACGTGTCCGGGGACCGGTCCATGGCCGCCTCGAGGAACTCGGTCAGGTCCTCCTCGTGCGCCGTGTTCTCAATGACGGGGATGCGAAGCGTATCGTGGTAGCCGAGGTTGCCCTGCTTCTGGAAGCCGCGGCCGAAGCCCTTGATCTGCTCAATGTTGTTGATCTCAAACAGCTTGCCGTCGCCGGGCGCCGACTCGAGCAGCAACGTCACGAGGACGGCCCAGTGCGAGTGCGTGTGGATGCAGCAGCCGGCGCCGCGCCGCGTGAAGGCCGCGAGGAAGAGGGGCGTGCACTGCGACGGCTTGTAGGCCGGCGGCGAGCGGAGGTAGGTCCTGTTCTTGAGGGAGGCTTCCTGGGCTGCGAGGGAGAGGACGTAGATGTCGGCGGGCTTCATGAGCTCCTTTTGGACGCCGGAGGGGGCGATGTAGACGAGGTCACTGGGCTGGTGGTGAGCTTTGGCTGGCTGGCTGGCTGGCTGGCTGCCTTGGGTGAAGCCGGGGAGGGGGACGTGGGCTTACTCTTCGCGGATGGAGCAGCCACCGCCGGTGCCAGTGACCCAGCCGAGGGTCCAGAACTTTGCGCACAGAGAGGGGATGAGATTGGCTGGGTGGTCAGGGTTCGTGGAGGTGACGAGCTGGTCGGGGTTTTCGAGGTCGGAGGACGACATGGCGATGGCGGGGTAGTCAATCGGAACACTGCGCGCGCTGGGCGAGCTTCGGGGGCGGGGACAGTATGAGAAGGAGATCCCACGTTGGTACGCGTCGAGAAGCGTTTACCTAGATTGTAGCACAGGCCGCGCGTTTTCGCAAAGAAAGTTGAGGAGAGCTGGCTGGGTGCGCGGCGATCACTTCATGGGAAGAAAAAAATTCCCCTCGTTCTGGAGGAACATGTGAGGCTCGACGACGCTGTGATTCGCCGTTTCATGATTCGCAGGCGCAGCTACTGGCGACCCGCCCCATCGTCATGCCGCCTTGTTCCTGGCCTCAGCTGACATAACGCTAGTCAACTTCAGTTATCATTTAGAAAAATGAACCACCACTTGAAGAAGCTGAGAATGTTTCTCTCGGTACAGTTTCATGGTGCTTGTTGTGTTGATTGACTTCGTTTGACTGATCGGTATCGGGGTGAGGCGTACGCCGCTTATGGCCCGGGTGTCGGCATGCCCACAACGGTCGTGAGTACTGAGTCTCAGGCGACGAACATTCGACCCGCCGTTGGGCGTAATGATCTATCTACATACAAATCCTCTCCGGTGGCCACTACCGTCTCACTGGACTTTCTGGTATGGTTTTTGAGATGTTCTGCTGTTTCTCGCTAAGACCTTCGCCCTTTCAAAGCCAGCCAAAGTTGCCTAAGATGGAGATACCTGCAGAAGACGCCGGGTTGAGAACAAGTAGTGGATAGCGTGTCTCCTGTCTGCCTCGGGCACGCAACTTTTCTGTTAGACAACATTATTTTCATCAAATATATTGTACGTAGAACTCGTCTTTCATTCTCTATTCGGACGCAGCAGTCTGACCTCATCACGTCTTTAAGGGGCACATCAAGGGTCGCAGCGGTTTGGCAAAGGCACGATCAGTGTGAGTAATACTTCCAGAACCAACAACTTCGCTCACCAAAAGGTGAATCAGGAGCGTCTCCGCTGTGAAGGTTACATCATACTTCTTGACTTATCCGATGTCACGCAACGGGTGAATGCGGTGCAGGGGAAGCGACATGGCTAACGGAGTCAGAAGCTAGACCAGTGTACAATCCATAAGAAAAGTACATATATCTTCCATATAAGACCAATCTTACTCGCATATGCTTAACAAATGACCGCTCTGTCATGTGTCTTCCATGTTTGGATATCTTGATATGGCCAGACTCAAGCAACCTTGCCCGCAGCAAAACAACCCCCCCTTAGGACACGATCAATTGAGGTCGAGTCGAAAGAATTGGCGCCGGGATCAGGCATGTTCTTCTCGTCCGCCAGCAATGGTTATTGAGATACTCTGAGAGCCTCGGAGTCCACCCGCTGGTCGCATTGATCACCGCCACGTCCTCCAAACGAAGCACGATATGCCAGGACCAGTCTGATCCCTCTAATCTTTGGCTTCTCATGTGATCCTCAATTGTCCGATCTACACCCTGTTGCCTCTTCAGGTCAACTCTTCACTATGATTGACTAAGTCTGACAAATAACTACGATTTCCTGGCCAGCTCCGCCCAATGAGCTCATTCTAGTAATACTGGCCCGGGTTTGGGACGAGCAAGTCAGCATTCAAGATGGCTGAGAGAGTGGCGCGATGGCGTGTGATCACAGTCAATACGGCAGTTTACGCTGACACATGGCTTGCAAAGTAGCGTGAAGGTGTCTGGCCGTAAGGTCGAAATATAGTATCTTTGATCCTTGTGAGCTGCCCAGAATGACGCAAATTGTCACCTGCTGAATGCTAACAAGATTACTTGGCAGGACCAGAGGGTAACAAGAGGAAGACCCGGAAACTGTTCGGAACTGTACTTTTTATATTGCTTACGTCTTTCCCCCGATCTTGACACCATATCGATCGTCTTGCGGATTGAGACCATTGACTTGAGCACTGCCTGATAGCAAGGCTTTGAAAGTTGGCACGCCAAAGACCACGTCCATGGTAATTGTCATCAATTTTTACAGCCCGCCAGTCCAAAGTGAGACCCGATGGTAAAAAAGAACACGCCTCTCGCCTTGATTGATCGACGATGGTGCCATAAGACCTATTCCTTGATCATCAAAAGATGATCAATTCACCAAGGGAAATGAGATCGTCCTGTGGGAGAAGCATAGTTTCCCTATCAGTGTAAGCTTGGCAAAACGATCGCAGATTAGGCGACAACGACGACGATGGGCGGTCCCTCAAGGCGTCAACGGTTGTGGACAACGTGGCGCATTGGATGAGGCTGATGGACGGAGGCCCACACACTGCATGCAAGATGAGCCGAGGATGGTCCCGTCCTACTTACTCCAACGAATCCTACCTCCCGAATCATGGTGCTAGCCAGGCAGGCCAGGTCAGGACAGGGCAATGGCATAATCATCACAGAGAAGCTGGGACATGGGCGAGGAGACACTGAAACGACCAATTGACTCCCAAGCCCCCATTGCAAAGGCAAGTCCTGCTTCGCATTGCCCGCATCACGGCCCAGCCTGCTGCAGAACCGTGAAACCAAGGCCAGGTGTCACAGGCGAGCACAAGACTGGGACACAAGACTGGGAGGAGGGCCATATGGTTTCTGGTGTTGGGGAAAGTGGGTCACCCTTGGATGGAAGCTCCTGGAACCACCTATCAACAGAGCTCCTGCCTCTCATGTCCCCTGTCGCCGCTGCGGCCGGCCTACTTTCACCGAGAGCCAGATTGCCAGAGCCTCCAAGCCCCTGGAGCAGAGGAGCGCGGTGGAGCTTCACAGGGACCAGCCCCCGCACTTTAGCACTGGTTGCCGTGGACTGGCCGTTAGGAGGCAGGTGTGCGTGGGCGTGCTTTCTCCCACTCCGACCCTGAGCACGCTCTCCCCCCCCGGAGCCCCCATTATTTTTCTGAGAGGGGACCTTAGCTCCTGCCTCAAAAAAGGACACGTTGAGCACAATCCGGCCACCACCCGACTAGAAAATCCACCGTCTTCCCTCACCTCCATCCCACCAGCGCGAGTCCTTCTGATTGTTCGGGAATTCTTCTTCAGTTCTCTCTAGAAGCCACACTGTCAATCTTGACACGACATTGTTGATACCGCAACCCACCCGGTTCAGCTATCTCACCCCGTCCACCACCTTCCTTCCTCTTGTTTCCGCTCGCGCGTTCAAGCACCTTCAAAGATGAAGTTCAACGCTGTTGCCGCGGTTTCCGCCGCCGCTCTCCTTGCTGGCAACGTCCATGCCGAGGAGGCTAAGGACGCTGAGGCGTCCTCCGTCACCCCCAAGATCGCCGCTTTCACCGTAAGCTGCCACTCCCTGATTGCCTGTCACCCCCGCACATGCATGGATTCTTCGCCACGTACGAGTGCTGGACAGTGATGCTGATGTTTTTCTCGCCTGCAGCCTACCTCCATCAAGGCCGACTTCCTTGAACAGTTCACCGATGACTGGGAGACCCGCTGGAAGCCTTCCAACGCCAAGAAGGAGACGGATGGCGAGAAGGAGGACGAGGAGTGGGCCTACGTCGGCGAGTGGTCCGTTGAGGAACCCTCCGTCTTCAAGGGCGTTGAGGGCGACAAGGGTCTTGTTGTCAAGAACCCCGCTGCTCACCACGCCATTTCGGCCAAGTTCCCCAAGGCCATCGACAACAAGGGCAAGACTCTCGTTGTCCAGTACGAGGTTAAGCTTCAGAGTAAGTGTCCCTGACCCAAAATAGCCTGAAACAACGTTAACAGGTTGTTTCCAGACGGCCTCGAATGCGGTGGCGCCTACCTTAAGCTTCTCCGCGACAACAAGGCTCTTCACCAGGAGGAGTTCAGCAACACCACACCGTACGTCATTATGTTCGGTCCCGACAAGTGCGGCCACACCAACAAGGTCCACTTCATCTTCCAGCACAAGAACCCCAAGACGGGCGAGTACGAGGAGAAGCAATTGTCTTCGCCTCCTACGGCCAAGATCGTTAAGACGACTGAGCTGTACACCCTGATTGTCAAGCCCGACAACACGTACATTATCAAGCAGAACAACGAGCAGGTCAAGACCGGCTCCCTCCTCGAGGACTTCACCCCCGCGGTCAACCCTGCCGCGGAGATTGACGACCCCAAGGATAGCAAGCCCGAGACCTGGGTTGATGAGGCCCGCATTGCCGACCCCGAGGCCAAGAAGCCTGAGGACTGGGATGAGGAGGCTCCCTTTGAGGTTCTCGATGAGGAGGCCGAGAAGCCCGAGGACTGGCTCGAGAACGAGCCCCTCACCGTCCCTGACCCTGAGGCCCAGAAGCCCGAGGACTGGGACGATGAGGAGGATGGTGACTGGCTCGCCCCTACCGTGCCCAACCCCGCCTGCGCTGATAACTCTGGCTGTGGTCCCTGGACCAAGCCGATGAAGCGCAACCCTGACTACAAGGGCAAGTGGACTGCGCCCTTCATCGACAACCCCGACTACAAGGGCATCTGGGCTCCCCGCAAGATCAAGAACCCCGACTTCTTCGAGGACAAGACGCCTGCCAACTTTGAGCCCATCGGCGCCATTGGCTTTGAGATTTGGACCATGCAGAGCGACATTCTGTTTGACAACATCTACGTCGGCCACTCGATCGAGGACGCCGAGAAGCTCGCCGAGGAGACGTTCAAGCCCAAGCACGCCGTTGAGAAGTCGCTCGAGGAGGCGGCCAAGCCCAAGCAGGAGGAAAAGCCCGCGTCGCCCAGCGACCTCAAGTTCACGGACGACCCCGTCACGTATGTCAAGGAGAAGGTCGACCTCTTCGTGACGATTGCGCAGAAGGACCCCATTGAGGCCATCAAGTTTGTTCCCGAGGTTGCGGGTGGCTTCGCGGCGCTCTTCGCCACGCTCCTCGTCCTCATTGCCAGCTTCGCGGCGGGCGGTGGCAGCGCCGCCCCCGCTGTCAAGAAGGCGGCGGGCGACGCCAAGGCGGCGGCCAAGGACGTCAAGGACAAGGCGACCAAGGCGGCTGCTTCGGGCGCGGAGACTGTCAAGCAGGAGGCCAACAAGCGCACTACCAGGAGCCAGTCGTAGATGGAGTGGCGGCGCGGATGGTGGCACGAGGACTGCGAGGGCCCCCTCCCGGCCGGCATGGACGGGAGCGGTGGCCTACAAGGGGGAGCGTCACAATGACGAGCAGGGAAGAAAAGAGAGCGGACACGAAGCCAAGGTTGATTAGTACTTTTCCCCCTATCGATTGATTCCCTCGGAGATGCATGATGTATTTGGTCAGTGTAACTGGGGGGGAACAAGAGGAGCTCTGGCGCAGTAGGATTCAGAATTCACGTTGACTTTTAATTTCACGGTATGCGTCGATGGTGATGAGAGAGTCATGCCCAAGACAGTGCAGAGCAGACGAGGCCGGGCGCCGGTGTCGCTTAATGGTAGCCGGGCTCGATGGGAGAGGTTCGGCATGCAGCGGCATTGGGGGAAAACGCTTCGGCTGGGCGGTTGAGGGCCGGGTGACGGGGTCGAGGTTGGGCGTGAGGGGCCGGGTATCTCTTAGTCAATGTCTGGGGAATGAATGGGGGACCAGGCTACCCCGCCCCGCTGTTTGGGCGCTGGGGGCCACTGTTTGGCGCTGGGAGCCAGTGTTTGGGGGCTTTGGGAGGGGGCACGTTGTGGATTGGTTGCCAGACTGGGCAAGTCATCTACCACCCAAGGTACCTGTGGCAGGTAAGGTACCTACCTACCTACCTACCTACCTCAAGGTAAGATAGGTACCTACCTAGGGAAGGTAGGTAGACAAGGTAGACAAGGCGCACTGAGGCTCAGGTCAGGGCGTGCCCAGATAGCAGGGCGTTTGGCACCTCCTACGATAGCCGATGCCGATGGCCGGCGGCGGCCGCCCTTTATAAGGACATGGCCGAACCACGATGTCACAGCTTCTTGCCGCCCCCTCTCACTCTCTGATTGTGTCAGTGTCTGTGCCTGCATCTTGTAGTTGCTTGTCGCGATAGGATACGAATCAGTCAGTGCCCATCGGTAGACGCCTATCTCGCCCAAGCCCCAATTGGACCGGGAGTGATTGCCCCTAAGCGATCGAACCTCGTGCCTTCCCTTGCACCCGTTGCTGCTTCCCGCCTCCTCTTCTCCCGCCCCCCCCCCCCTCCCCGTCTTTTTATTCTTCTTCCCTTCTCCTCCCTCCTCTCCACAATGCGTCGAGCCATCTCTCGAGGCGTCAGCGTCAGCGCAGGTCGCTCTTCCAGATCATTCGCCGCCAACCGTCCCTCTCTCCTCACATCATCCAGCGCGACCTCCGCCATCATGGCCCCCGCCAACGCCTCGGCCCCCGGTGCCGTTGCTGCCAGGAGGATACACGCCACGGCCTCCCACCTCAGCGCCGCCCTCGCGTCAACGGCCGAGTCGTTCCCTCGCACTCATGACAAGATTGCCAAGCCCGAAGACACGCCCTACTTTATCAACAATGAGTTTGTCCAGTCCAAGGCCGACAAGTTCATCGATCTCCACGACCCCGCCACCAACAACCTCGTCACCCGCGTGCCCCAGATGACCGACGCCGAGCTCCAGGCCGCCGTCGACTCGGCTGAGAAGGCGGGCGTCGCCTGGCGCGCGACGAGCGTGCTGCACCGCCAGTCCATCATGTTCCGCTTCGTCGGCCTGATCCGCGAGAACTGGGACCGCCTGGCCGCCAGCATCACCCTCGAGCAGGGCAAGACGTTTGCCGATGCCAAGGGCGACGTCCTGCGTGGCCTCCAGGTCGCCGAGGCCGCTTGTGCGGCGCCCGAGCTCATGAAGGGCGAGGTGCTCGAGGTGGCCAAGGACATGGAGACGAGGAGCTACCGTGAGCCCCTCGGTGTCGTGGCTGCCATCTGCCCCTTCAGTGAGTTGCCCATTGGTCTGGCCATGTACCCTACAGGAAATGCTGACGATGACGCAAGACTTCCCCGCCATGATTCCCCTGTGGTGCATCCCCATCGCCACCGTCACCGGCAACACTCTCATCCTGAAGCCCTCCGAGCGTGACCCTGGCGCGGCCATGATCCTGGCCGAGCTCGTCAAGAAGGCCGGCTTCCCCGAGGGCGTCGTCAACGTTGTCCACGGCGCCCACCGCACCGTTGACTTTATCCTCGAGGATCCCGTCATCAAGGCCGTCAGCTTCGTCGGTGGCAACAAGGCCGGCGAGTACATCTTCAACAAGGGCTCCGCCCACGGCAAGCGCGTCCAGGCCAACCTCGGCGCCAAGAACCACGCCGCTGTCCTGCCGGACTGCAACAAGAACCACTTCCTCAACAGTGTCGTCGGCGCCGCGTTTGGCGCCGCCGGCCAGCGCTGCATGGCCCTGAGCACCCTCGTCATGGTCGGCGAGACCAAGGAGTGGCTGCCCGAGCTTGCCGAGATGGCCAAGCAGCTCAAGGTCGACGGCGGCTTCGAGGATGGTGCCGATCTCGGCCCCGTCATCTCCCCGCACAGCAAGGCCCGCATCGAGGCGCTCATCCAGAGCGCCGAGGACGAGGGCGCCACCATCCTTCTCGACGGCCGTGGGTACACGCCGGCCAAGTACCCCAACGGCAACTGGGTCGCCCCCACCATCATCTCCAACGTGACGCCCAAGATGAAGTGCTACACCGAGGAGATCTTCGGCCCCGTCCTCGTGTGCCTCAACGTCGAGACTCTCGATGACGCCATTGAACTCATCAACAAGAACGAGTACGGCAACGGCACGGCCATCTTCACGCGCTCCGGCCCCACGGCCGAGACGTTCCGCCGCCACATCGAGGCCGGCCAGGTCGGCATCAACGTCCCCATCCCCGTGCCCCTGCCCATGTTCTCCTTCACCGGCAACAAGAAGAGCATCGCCGGCGGCGGCGCCAGCACCTTTTACGGAAGGCCCGGCGTCAACTTTTACACGCAGCAGAAGACGGTCACGGCCCTGTGGCAGAGCGCCGACGCCGTGTCGCAGAAGGCGGACGTTTCCATGCCGACGCAGTCGTAGGGCGGTCGTGGGATGAATACTAAGCATGTTCTTTTTCGTCTTTCCAACTGAGTGTTTTGCACGTGATTTGTGACTGGTCGTGATTGGGATGATGTCTTTCGGTGACTATCGCATATGCAGACCATGCTGATGTGTTTCTTGGCCACAACGTGTCGTCAGGCCTGACACTTCTGTGGGTGAGCGAGAGGAAAAAATGATTGTTTGTCCCTGCGGATGCGGTAAAAAGTAATCTAGCCCATGGGGGAAAAAAGACTGGGACATGATCTTCTGAAGCGCTGGTCACCGAGGAATCCAAAATCTCTACAGAGTCTGGGCGAGAGATGCCTGTCTCATATCCGCATGTCTATTGATTGCACTCGGCACCATTTTAGCACATCTCCAGTGTTGCAGAATCGAATCCATCCCAACTTGTGACCAGGTCGGTCGATCGCAGTATAGCGATGGCCAAACCGTCGCCTATCCCTCACCCGCTGCGCAGCAGACGGAGCAGCAGCAGCGCCACCACCACCTCAGTGCGCGAACCGAAAGTCCAGCCGCCTGCTGCCCTCGTCCGTCGTCGTCGCGAGGTAGTGGTCCTTCTCCGCGGCGCCGAGGGCGTTCCACGCCTGGTCGCGCTTCTTGTTGCGCCACATGTAGTAGCCCTTGACCAGGAAGGCCGAGACAAAGTTCCACGCAATGATGCCGATGATGGCCCTGTTGCCGCGGCGGTAGAGGGGGGCGTCGTCGGCGCGGTAGATCTGCGCGGTCAGCCGTGTGTTCGAGAAACGAGATAGGGAGAGGGGGTATTCCCTGACAGTGAAACCAGAGAAAAAGGAAAAGGGGGGGGGGGAGGGCGCTTACGTTGGAGCCGATCATGCTGCTCGTCTGCACCGTCATGTTGTACACGGCACTGCCGACGGTGCGCGTGCGGACGGAGCCGGCGTTGCGGGAGGTCAGGCCGACTGTGCGAAGACACGACATGAGCATTCTTTTCCTCCTTCCAAGTACAGATGAGAGTGGAGACTGTGTATACATACCGAGGATCGAGTGCACGTAGGGATACCCGATGATGAGGGCCAGGACGGCGTACTTGCTCCAGGCGCTGACGTCGGCGGGCAGGAAGGCGAGGGCCATGAACATGGGGAACAGCCAGACGGAGCAGAAGGAGATGATGAGGAAGCGGTTGTTGATGCGCTCCGAGACGCGTGACCAGAAGATGAGCTGGAAGATGAAGACGGCAAAGGCCGGCACGGTCAGCAGGTTAGTCTGCAGCGTCGTGAAGCCGAGGTTGCGCAGCGTCAGGGTAAAGTAGGCCATGACGGGCCGCAGCGGCATGAGGACGGTGAAGCCCATGAGGTAGATGGGCCAGAGGTCGACGTCGGTGAGGGACGACCAGAGGAGCTGGAGCGTCAGGCCCTGGCGGTTGTGCATGCCGCCCTTGCTGGGGTCGTCGCGCAGGATGCGGTTCACCATGACGACCTCCTCGCGCTCGGTGAACCAGCCCTTGCGGCCGCGGAACCAGGAGGCCGTCTGCGTCGGCGAGGGGGGCATGTAGAGGTACGAGAAGATCCCGATGAGGCCGGTCAGACCGCCCTCGATGGCGAACATCCATCGCCAGCCCTCCCAGCCGCCGACGCCGCGGAGCTGGAAGATGCCGACGGCGAGGAAGGCAGCGATGATCTGCGTGAGGTAGGACGAGGTGTAGAAATAGCTCAGGCGGATGGGGAGCTCCTTGCTCGTGTAGAAGTAGGTCAGATACAGGATGGCGTCGGGGATAAAGCCGCCCTCGAGGAGACCGAGTAGCGCGCGGGTCGCATAGAACCCCTTCTCACCCACGAGGATGGACTGGCACGCCGCGACTATAGACCAGCTAACCATCTGAATGGGGATCCAGACATCAGGGCCGAGCTTCTTCGAGATCATCTGCGAGGGCAGCTCCGCGCTGAGAAAGGTCACGTAGAAGATGGTCATGCCGTAGTTGTACTGGTTCGTCGTGAGGCCAAGGTCGTCGAGCATGTTGTCCGACAGAGCCTGGCTGATATTGCCGCGGTCAAGTTGAAGGGCAAAGAACATGATGCACACCCAAGAGCAAATGCGGTAGTCCAGCTGTGCTGTCGTTAGAAACATTCCCATGTGGGAGATGGCCAGGTTTCAAGCCTGCAACGTACCCTCCTCACGAGCTTCTTCTCTTCTTTCTCCGTCCATACAGCGGTAGGATCGTAGCGGTGTCTTCCCTCATACTCGGGAATGGGCTCGTACAACGCGCCCGATGCTCCAGCAGCCCAGATGGTATCCTTGCCTCCACTGCCGGCGTAGACCTCTTCAGACTTGGGCGTCGCTGTCGCATCGTTGTCCGAGTCGGTAGCACTTTGAGCAACGGCCTTGTCCGCGGCCGGGGGTTTCTCGTTGGGGGTAGACATGGTTGGGAGAAACCAGAGGACTAGGCTTCTCAAGACAGTCGGCTGTTGATGTCTTGTCGTTCGCGTGGCAAGCTTGTTCCGTCTTGACCTCGCACGCCGTCTCTTGCAGGCTCTCTATCAGGCTGCGCCATTGTGCACAAGGCGTGCGTCTTAGCCTTATAAGCAAGAATCCCACCATGATGCCGAGAATCATGGACTTTTCATCGTCTATCACCACATTGCCTTCGGGATGGTATCATTGAAGATGGCCTTCGAAGTCCACCTGCGGCCGCATCTCCGAGGAGGCAAGGACCAATCTCTCCGACTTAGGCGACACTGGCAGTGAATCCTACACAAAACACCAAACAGCGAGGCCTTCAGGGCCAGAAAACCGATTCAGGTATGCAGATCGTCACCGAAACCTTTAAATTCACGTTGCAGTATGGGCCACACACTGGAGAGCATTCCAGATCGAACATTTCCGAGGAGGTCTGCCTTCCAAGAATTCGAACCCTACATCATGTAGGAGTGACTGAGAAAGCTCCATTGGAAAGCGGATAAATTGATGCTTGAAAGGAAGTGTGGTTGGCTGCGAAAGGGCTGATCAGACGCGCGACTTGGGATGCAGATATCGCGTCAGTCGGTAGTCGGATGTCGACATGCAGTAGATCGGGGGCGCCACCGGGGTAGTTAGTCTCCGCCATGTTCGATCTGACGTACCACAGCTGCGGCTTCGTCATCCATTTGAATTTTAGTTACGTTTTGCAGTGTTTGGACGTGGTCTGAAGCTGGTCCATTTCATGTCACTGGTGGTAGCAGTTTGATGCATCCAGAGCAAACTGATCCGGACCTTGTAACACAGCACGTTCAGTTGACGTCCCAGCCTTTCATACACCAATACATGTATGATAGAAAATCATTCCATCAGCCAACTGCGCTTGTATAGCTAGGGGCATCGTAGTGAAATGATTGTCCATGGCGATCCCTAGAGAGCGAGTCACGGCCTGCCGACATCCGCCAAGCTTCTGCTTGGGCAACGAAACTTGCCCTCTATGTTCAATCTACAGCATGTCCCAGGACGAGGCATGCAGCTTTGCAGAGAGGCAGTGAACGTAGAGCGGTGGACGCCGGCTCGACTTTCGTGGGGCCGCGACTTGGCGGGGTGGGATGAGGCTTGGTGGCGGCGCGCCCAAGACGTATGGCGTCCGGCCCGCCGTCATCGGCACCCCCTGATGCTTGACTACATTCCTACTTGCAATGCAGCGGGCGAGTGTGTGATGCAGAACAAAATGCCTCGGAAGGTTGCTGGTCGCCAAGGCCCAGTTCGTGAGAAGTGTCAAAAACACTGAAAGTAATGAGCTCGTCATCTCAACATGTCACGCACGTCGCCGGTATCCTAGCCCCGCGACCCTGCGCAGCGGAACAAATGCTCTGGTGTGCGTATGAGACGATTCAGTCTGTGCCCTCGTCTCCCACGTGTGTACAGCGGGTCAATTTCAATCGTCGGGTTGTGATTTGTTAGCCGTTCACGAGCACGCCGCATTCATCCATGCCGCCGACGGTTCGGTTGTCGGTGCCACCACGTGCATATTGTTCCATCACGTCAACATTGCGCGCAGGGGTCTGCGTTGGTGCAAGGGGTATCTCCGGAGATGTTTGATTCTGCTCAACATCGGAGTCGGACGGACTCCGACACGGACAGACTAAGCAATGTCAATATTCAATATCTTGATGTCCTCCTCTGGCTTGTCCTTGTACGCGCGGGCGTTCTCGATTTTATGTATGACGTCGAGACCTCGCGTCGCACGCCCAAAGATGGTGTGCTTGCCGTCGAGCCAGGGCTGTTTCTTGTCAGCAGATGGAACAAAAAGAAGAAGGGTGCGCAGGGGAGAGCGGGGTGTCCGCTCTGGCGGATTCTGTACGTACAGTCTTCTCCGTCGTGATGAAGAACTGGCTGCCGTTGGTGTTGGGCCCGGCATTGGCCATGCTGACGGTGTACGGCTTATCGTGCTTCAAGCTGCTGAATTCGTCCGCAAACTCCTTGCCCCAGATACTCTCGCCACCTGTGCCGTCGCCCATGGGGTCGCCGCACTGGATCATGAACTTCTTGATGACGCGATGGAAAATCGTGCCATTGTAATAGCCTCGCTTAGAGTGTGTGACGAAATTCTCGACAGCCTTTGGTGCGGCATCGGGGAAGAGACGAATGCTGATGTCGCCATATGTTGTGTGCAGCACGGCAGCGGTGCCTGTCTCGGCCGTCTTGGCTTCAGCCGCCTTCTGCTTGCCTAGCATTGTCGGCTTCTCGTTTTGAACGTCCCTGACCGACTTGGAGACCTCGCTTTCGTTTGTGAACATGTAGAAACGGACCTTGCCCACGCCCGTCGCGAACAGAATGGGGTCTCTAGATTCTGACTCCTGCAGTAAGGGATTGCTCGAGGCGCCCATCTCGACTGTGGTGATTCCCTTCTTCTGCGGTTGGCCCTGGTAGATCGCCAGGTTGACTGCCCTGAAGTTCTCATCCTTGCCAAACACCTTGACCACCTTGTTCGTAAACGTGTTGAGGACCTTGATGCCAAAGACGGACCCGTATATGATGAAGTTTCCAGATTCGTCAAAAACGACATTGGCCTTGTCGCTGTAGGCCGGAGAATCGATTTCGCGCTCCAGCGCGAACCTGCGGCCGTACTCGACGGCGTCCAGTTTTGACAAGGCAGTTCCGGCCTGCTGCATCTCTTCGATGACCTGGAGGGACTCGTCATATGTCCTGTGCAGCTTTCCCGAGGCAAAGTCGAACACGCGTATCTTCCTGTCGGGCTGTGAGAAGACAGCGAACTGCTGGCCGTCCGGCGAGATGCTCAAAGACGTCGGGACAGTCTTGGCCTTTTTGAATTCGAAGAGATTCGTGGAAGCCTTGTACTCGAATACATTGTCGGGCTTCTCATAGTCGCCGCTCGGCCGCCAGTATTCAACAAGGCCCTTGTCATCTACCGACACGACACAATCGTAGCGACTGTTGAACGACATGATCCTGACAGGGCTTCGGTGGAGAGACTTGATGGTCTGTGTCGGCTCCTGTTTCTCGCCTCTGCCGTCGAAGATGTGGACCAGAGGTTTGGCGTCTTCCGACACGGCGACCAGCGGCACCGAGGCGCCCCTGTTGTGTACCCAGCAGATGCACCGAGGGGTGAAGGCGAGGTTGATCATGGCGAGCAGGTCAAAGGTCGTAATGTCAAAGATCTTCAGCGTGTCGTCGACGCCAGCTGTCGCAAAGCTCCTGCCGTCCTGGCTAACCGAAACCGACTTGATCTCGCCCTGATGGGCCTTGAACTCCTTGACGAACTCGATGCCCTCGGCCATTTTCTTCCAGAACTTGACGACGCCATCGGTAGAGGAGGTGATGATAAAGTCGGTAAGGGGTGTGACGGTGACGAAGGCGAGCTGCTCCTTGTGCATTAACGACTTGGAGTAGCGAGGTGACTTGGGCAGGGCGGCGATGTAGAGCTTCTCGTAGGGCAGGACGCGGCGCTTCTTCTTCGGGGCTTCGCTTGGGAGCTTAGGGCCCATGTCGTCGTCGGAAGAGCTATCTGCGAAGGGGGAAGTCAGCATGCTGAAGATGGCATACACAGGTTTGAGCAGTAGGCAGCGCAAGGCAGGGAAGCTCACCTGAGCCATCTTGTTCAGTAAATTCGGAATGGCTCCGCTTGGCCGTCTTCTCGTCGTCTGTCATCTTGGGTGGCTCGAGCCTCGTCACGGAGCCTCGTGCGACGCAATGCGATAGCTTTTTCGTAGAAGGGGGGGGGATCGACCTTGAGGTTTGCGACGAAGTTGAAGACGGATGATCAAGCTCTCAGGCGTGATGTTTTCGAGCCAACCCAGGCCAATCACAGGATGCGATTGGCCCAGCTAGCGGCTGCAGATGAGTGCGACATGCGGCCGCTCCAGGCGTTGCCAGCTCCCTACAACGAGGTGCCCAGCGTTCCGTACTAGTGCGCTCGTGGGCGGCTGGGGCTGCTGCTACAGGTGACATCCAGTACAAGGGGAACGGCATTTGTGCCTCAATTGGGAAGACACATCTAGGTGTCGAGGACATGCAATGCAACCTCTCGAATTTGGATTAACATCGAACTACTTCTGAGAATGCCAAGATGAGTCGACTACGACTGCGAGACGTCCACCAGGCAGTGGCGTGGCTCTCTTCGGAACGGGAGGCTCGGCTTGTTCAAGGTCCCGACGACCCATACGTGGACACCTGTGACGTTGACAGTGAACTGTCTTGATATCATCACTAATCCCCCTCAACTGTCTATTTTTTTATGACCCAACAACCAATCTCCTTCGTAGCTACAAAAACAGTAACCCGTCTGATCGCCGACACGCCAATCCTTGAGAACCTCTCGACACAACCATGGCCCGTCACCCTCTCCAGCGGCTCGAGTCGCCTTCGCGCCTCTTCTCTCTCCTCCTGCACACGGCCGGCCTCGTCTCCTTCACGCTCTCCTTCCGCTGGCTCGATCGGTGGGATCACCCCATGGTCAAGGGGTACGGCGGCTATTACCAGCACCTCACCAACATTGGCCTCGCCATGGCCTTTGTCACGTTCGCCCTGGGCGTCGCCGCCGACCTGACCCTCAACCGCCAGCTCTTCGCGCTGAAGAACGCCATGTCGGTGACGTCGGCGCCGCTCGAGGTCCTCATCAGCCTGCTGTACTGGGGCATCCGCTCCATTGACAAGGCGCTGCTCTACCCGCCCGGCATGGAGCTGTACTGGGTGACCGACATCGGCTTCCACCTCGTGCCGGCCGTCGTGCTGACGCTCGACCTGCTGCTGCTGAGCCCGCCGTGGACCATCCGCGCCTACGCCGCCATGGCCATCAGCATGGGCATCGCGTTCCTGTACTGGGGCTGGGTTGAGTTGTGCTTCAGCCACAACGGCTGGTACCCCTACCCCATCTTTGCCATTCTCACCACGCCGCAGCGCGTGGCCTTGTTCACGGGCGCCGCGTCGCTCATGACGGCGAGCACCGTGCTGCTCAAGTGGCTGTACGGACGTGTCAACGGGCTAGGAGGGATCGCGAGGGAAGCTCACAAGCCGCTGAAGAAGGTGCAGTGAAGCGCATACATGTATCACGGTGGGTGCGGCGGCGGCATGAGCTGGTCACGAGATGCTCTGATGGTGCTCAACGGTGACGCCTGACAATTGGGGTTGGAGGGGATGG